GGTTAAGCTTTGTTGACAATGGTTCTTAAGATACTGACTTAATTTATGCTGCTTATTAGCCTACGGTTCTCCATTGTCCATGGTAAAGTTTGTAGATCAAAAACTAAAAAGTCACTGTCCAGTAGTTTGAGTTCTTAGCTCTGAGAAGTAGATTAATTTTGAAGGAGGGTCAGAAACATTCTTTAAGTTTTATCTAAGAGGCACATCATAATCCACAGAGGTTATGTATTCCATCTAGCAGGAAAACTTCAAGTACTGAATTTATCTATGTCTTCATTTAGAAAACATTTATTGAATGCTTGCTCTGGTACAGGTAATCCGCTACATGCTGGAGATTCTAAATGGATACATTATCCCTACCCAGGGAATTCTGTTTCTCCGATTACAGTTTGAGAGTTCCTTGGGTATTTTATATTTTTACAAATGAAGAGATCTTTTAGTACTCCATTACCATGTGATCTTGATAGGATGATCATAAAGCAACAGTCGTACTCGTTTCTTTTATAAGAAATATAAACCTTTGTAGGGGCGCCTGGGTGGCTCAGTTGGTTAAGCGACTGCCTTCGGCTCAGGTCATGATCCTGGAGTCCCGGGATCAAGTCCCGCATCGGGCTCCCTGCTCAGCGGGGGGTCTGCTTCTCCCTCTGACCCTCCCCCCTCTCATGTGCTCTCTCTCATTCTCTCTCTCTCAGATAAATAAATAAAATCTTTAAAAAAAAAAAGAAATATAAACCTTTGTAATTATACTATTGGTACAACTAACTCTTTTAAAAATTTTTATCAGCCACCAGTAATCATGCTTCAGATAAGCCTTATGATCTGTGATATATTTTTGAATAAATTATAGTAGAGGCAGTGGAGTGGAGTGGCTAAGAGGACAAGGGAGCTGGAGTGTCTTGAGTTTGAATCCCAGTTTCGTTTGTTTGTGTTTTAAGATTTTATTTATTTGAGAGAGAGAGTGCAGAGCGAGAGAGAAAGCACAAGCAGGGGAGACGGGCAGAGGGAGAGGGAGACGGAGACGCAGACTCCCTACCAAGCAAGGAGCCTGACCCGGATCCCAGGACCCTGGGATCAATGCCTAAGCCAAAGACAGGCACTTAACCGGCTCAGCCACCCAGGTGCCCTTGCGAATCCCAGTCCTTTTAATTACAAAGCTGCGTAACCTTGACAAGTTACTTAATCTCTTTGTGCTTTTGCTTTAATCTATAAAATAGGGATAATAGTAATACTTTTTAGGAGTATTAAATGGATTAAATGAGTTGATAAATGTAAAAGCACTTAAAACTCTGCTGGGCACATGATAAGCATTATATAAGGGTGTTACCTCTGATGGAGATGATAACAATGATGCAGCAGCAAGCAATTGCATTTAACAAGTTAAATAACTTCATATTAAACTGGTATATATTAAAACTTTTATATATTCTTAAGTTTTGAAGCAAATTTTGATCAGAAGAATAATTGGATAATTATTTTATTATTAAATATATAGTTGACCCTTGAACAAGGTGGGGGGTAAAGGGGCACTAACAACCACCTGTCACCTTTGACTTGCCAAAAATTTAACTATTAATAGCCTACTGTTAACTGGAAGCCTTACTGATAGGGTAAACAGTCAATTACACGTATTTTATATGTTATATGTATTATATAGCATATTCTTAAAGAAAAACAAGTGTTATTAAGAAAATCATAAGGAAGAGAAAATACATTTTTAGCATTATACTCTATTGAAAAAAAACCTGGCTATAAGTGGACCCGCACGATTCAAACCTTTATTGGTCAAGGGTCAGCTGTACTTTAGTAAAGAAAAACTTGTTTTGCAGAAAGTTTTAAAAATAAAAAGAAGAAAATGGATTTATAATCCATATATCTTGGGTTTACTATTTGGCATGCCAGTTCAGATCTTTTCATATGCAAAACCCCTCTGCTCCAAAATGTGATCATACTGGGATACTCTTTTATCATTTACTTCTCTGTTTATCATACACATTCCTTGCCCTGCCATAGATGTTCTTTAACAATTTCATTTTTAATGACTGCATGGTTATCTTTTATATTGTAATAAATTATATTTAACAGGTTTAACAGGTTGGAAGTTTAACTTGTTTCCATTTTTTTGTCTTCATAGTTAGTGAAGCAATACATCATAAGTATATTATTGCATTATCTCCCCAACTGTTTCGTTAAGATAAATCCCCAGGAGTAGAATTGCTGGGACAAAGGCTTTGAACAATTCAGTTGTCTAAGATTGCCTTTCCCAAAGCTTGTACCAACTTACATAGTTTTAGTGTGAGAGTACTGATTCCTGATTCCTGATACCCTTACTGATGCTGAATTTTGTATTTAAAAATTGCCTTTGCCAAGTCAATGGGTAGAAATGATACCTGGTTTTCATTTGTATGCCAGGTTATTTTTTTTTTTAAACTAGTAGAATCATTTTTTTTAGTACATTAATTGAATACTTAAACATTGTCAACTAACCTCAGAATCCAGTTTTGGATAAATTTTCAGTGCAGGTTTTTATCTTGCCAGACCTTTAAACAGATGTGTAGTCGTTTTAGTACCAAAGCCTTTTTCTGAAGTGGTATTAAAAGCCTTTCTTTTTTTTTTTTAAGTCAAACTTTGGTGTGAATTTTCCTCTTGCTTTTGGTGTCTTTTTCCTCTCTGTGTCTTTAGGCCAAGCCATACTTGAAATCAGAGGCTTTCTTACTCAGTTTTTTCTCCTTACATGGGCATCCCATATTTTGGATGGATGGATGGATGGATGGATGGATGGATGGATGGATGGATGGACAAATATTTAGAACCTACAAGAAAAGTGACTTGGAAAGGCAACATATTTTTATCCAAGATAAGAGAACCAGTTCCTGGTCCCACCCACAGTGATTCTTCCATTCACTTGTTTTATGATCTTTGCAAGACATAATCTCCCTGTGCCTCAGTTTACAGTGTCTTTAATATAAATGTTTTTTCTACCTCCTCACTGTTGTTTTTAGTCCTTTTCATGTCATGCCTAAATTATTGTATTCCTCCTCACTGCCAGCCCAGCTATTTATTATTCCTTCTTTGGTTTGTCCCTTATACTGATATCCAGCAGTACATATATTGTTCCTCTTTTGGTAGTTTTTAACAACTCCCTTTGGTGTAGAGGATAAATATAACCCCCTTAGTTTTCCACGTTCCCACCTCTCAGCCTTTGTTCACAGTATTTTCTCACCTACTAAGTCACCAGCTTCTTCCTTTGCTCGTACTTAAAAACTGAGCTTCATTTCTTCCTGTTCATGAAGTCTTCCTTTAGCACCATATCCCCATTGATCCTTCCCACCCCACCCCCCACCCCCCACTCCCAACTCCCTGTGACACTTGCCAACTGTACGTTGGTTTTCAACATAGGTCTGAGGAAGCCTGGGGATTTGTAGCAGTGTTTCAGGCATGCTGAAGGAGCAAGGGAGAAAGCAAGGGCTCCATTCCCTCTTCCACCCAGTCTCCACGCTGCTTTGTCTATTGTCTATGTTGAAATTTGACTTCCTTTGAAAATTTTCTTCTTTGGGCAATATCGTTTTTTTATTCCTAACTTTATGAATTAATTTTTAAATTTTTTTTCTGCCTAACTACAGGATATCGTGAAACTAAATGAGAAAAAGATGGTTTGAAAAGTCCTGTCAAATTAAGTAAATGTTACTTCCTTTATGGCCTTATTTTGAAGTGAGAGTTTACTGGAAGCTAAAACTTTTTCCACATTTTAATTTTTTTCATTCAACAGTCAAGCAGTTACTAAGCACTAAAAATTAATACATTAGCAGACTAGTAGAAATAAAAAATAAAAAGTCACAGATATGTATTACGAAGGAAGTATGGTTGTAGAAGTGTGTCCAAGTATATCTGTAGAACAAATAAGGCACACAGAAGCTGTGTTTTGGTGAGTCAGCTTGTGCTTTCCTTCTAAGTGGTGCCTTAATGGGTAGAAGTTGCAAGGTAAACAGGGCAGAGAAGAACCTTCCAGGTAAAGAGAACAGAATATAAAAGGCTCAAAGACATGAAACGAGATATTGGGAACTATTAATTGGTAGGGCCTGAACATAGGAGTTGCTGATGAAATTGGAGATAGACCTCTGCTACCCAGTATGTTGCCGACTGGCCACAAGTAGCTGCTTACACTTAAATTTAAGTTAATTAAACTATGAAGTGCAATTCTTTAGTCATACTAGCCATATTTCAAGAGTACATTAGGTATATATGCTAGTGGCCACTATATTGGACAGCACAGCTATAGAACATTTCCATCATCACAGAAAGTTCTATTGGACAGTGCCGAGCTAGATCATAAAGAACCTTGTGCCCTTAATTAAGGTGTTGGACTTTCATCTTAGAGGCAGTTGTGAGCCTTTGAAGAGTCTTAAGCAGGGGAGGATGAGATCTATACTTTTTCAAAGATTTTCAAGCTTTCACATACCTGATCTCACGTACATAGTGGTTTTAGAATCAAAAATTTCTATCTGGTACATAGCTTTTGCTGACAAAGTATAATTAGAAGGGAATTAGGTAGCCTAGACCCCTGTAATTATTGTAATGGAGAATAAAATAGAGAAAGGATTTAAATAGACTTTTAAGACTTCTGATTCTGCTTCAAAACTCTTGAAAGCTATTGTTGTTCTTTATATTAGCTGGAAAAAATGTTTCTTTACCTTTTTTTTATTTTAGTGAGGTTACTGGGTGATAAATGTTAGTGATAACATTATGTGATACAAATTTTCAAAAACTATTACTCAAGGTATTTGTATCCTTATTTTGTTATAGGATTTGCCATTATGTTTTGAAAGCTAAGACTAGTAACTGTCATGACTTGATAATAACTAAATCAAGATGTTAAATAGAATTGTCATAGATTTATTAATCAAAGTAATTTAATTAGATTTACTAACAAAATAAAAATGTTGCTTTTAATAATATGAATTAAATTTTCATGCATATTTGCTAATTTGGGCCTTTTCTTACAGTTAACCCAGTATCCACTCCAGTTGCACTTCCCACACCAGCTCTTTCTCCAAGCTTGATAGCTGATCTTGAAGGTTTAAATTTGTCAACTTGTTCATCAGTCATCAGTGTAAGTAATTTTCAAAATATATTAGCTCAGTTTTCATGTGATAACATTGCATCTTTCTTATTAAAATGCAAATAATCGAAGTGGATTCTTAGTCTTGAACAGTTTCTCTTTTAAGCAGGGTCAATTTAGATCTGACCTTTTAATTTTATAAATAGTTTTAAAATTTGCTCTACCGAAACCGTTATCCTCACAATTGACTTCTGCTTATTATCCACATTTAATTACCATGTTTACATTTTTCTCTGGCACTCTTACGTATGTATAATATATAAGCATTCTTTGCCACATTGGGTTCATTTATATACATAAATTCTCCCATAAAGAATTGTTATCTACATTAATAGACTTAAATTCCCATAATCATTCCATTTCTGTTACACTGTTCTTATACCATACCCTACTAAAAATACCTGTTTTCATTTTAAAATTCAGGATTGTGTTTCTCTTTGCATTATCTTTGTATGTTTACTTACATGCCTCGGTATCTCTAAAAAAATTCTTTAATGTTACTTATGGGGTATGGCTTGAAGTGAGGCAAGAGGCTGGCCTATCTCAAAATAATGCCCAAACCATCAGCCTGTCATAATATCTGAAACTGCAATAACTTTTTCTGTGTTAGCATATTATATCCACTAACCTTTCACTCTAAATCAGACATGCTGCCTACAATGTATAATCTGGTGATATGCTTGACCTCCTGTTAATTTGTTGTCAGAAACCTGACAAAGTAAGAGACAAAATAGTACGTTCTGATGGGAACACGAGGTAGCTTGAATAGATCTGGTGTATCACTGGTTCCCATGGCTGACAGAGTACATAATTGGTGATCTGAGCTCCTGGGGAGCGTAGAGCTGGTTCTGCCAGAAGTGGAAAAGAGGAGTACCTAATTCTTGTACCTTGTTACAAAAAATTTCCCCATCAAAGCAGATGTGATATCAGGACCATTTGGTTTAGAATGCACATGTGGAAACTATTAAGCTGAGCATGTTGTTTAAGTTGTAGAATGCAGTTACCTCTAACTGCTCAGAAATGAGTAAGAATATCTGGGGTTTTAGTTTGCCATTCTTGTTGCTAAAAGGAAAAGGCACATTGAAAGAGATAGAGGGAAGCAGTGAAAAGAAGCAGTTAAGTCTTTATTATTTAAGTAATAAATATTTCTTGAGCATTTGGGTAGGCTGTAAAGAGAAAGTAGAAATCAAAAAATCTATAGTGAAGCAGTTTGTCCTTGAGGGGAAAGGAGGGCCCTAAAAACTTAGGAGGCAGTAAGGTAGCGGCTAAATAACTCGGGCTTTGATATCAGATGACCAGGGTACAAATCTCTGCTTAGCCGCTTACTAGCTATGTGGTTGGACAGATTGGTATGTAATTTTTCTGTACCTCATTTTCCTGTGAAGATAACAAATACCCTATAGGATTGTAATAACATTAATGAGATAGTAAATGTATAGCTCTTAGAACAGTGACTGGCACATTGTCATTACTCAATAAATAATAACTAATATTTTTTAAAGTGATATGATAATGGACCCTCAGTAGACTCTCATACTTTATTAGCTATAAAAAGAATGCAGTTGAGATTAGAAAAGCTTGCAGTAAATTTTCATTCATCACAAAGTAATTGAAGGACTCACCCTTTTATACTAAGAAAAATATTTATTGGGATGGTCTCTTCAAAGGAGAGGAAAAGCACTCCATCCAAAGAATGTACAAAAAAAGGACTGCCGAATGGGCAAATTTGTGTAGAGGGGAGTGGGAGATACAGACTTCCAGTTATGGAATAAGTAAGTCATGGGAATAAAAGGCACAGGATAAGGAAACCAGTCAGTGATATTGTAATAGTGTTGCATGGTGACGGGTGGTAGCTACACTGTGGTCAGCATAGCCTAATATATAGCGAAGTTGAACCACTATGTTGTATACCTGAAAGTATACTTCTCTGTCAACTGTACTCAAAAAATTAAAAAAAAAAAAAGACTGTCAAGTTCAGCTGAGCGAAGCAAGATCTCAAACTCATCCTCAAAAGCTAACAAATTGATCAAATGAATAGTAGTAATAAGAATGTCAACCAGAGGGGCGCCTGGGTGGCTCAGCCGTTAAGCGTCTGCCTTCGGCTCAGGTTATGATCCCAGGGTCCTGGGATCGAGCCTCACATCGGGCTCCCTGCTCCACGGGAAGCCTGCTTCTCCCTCTCCCACTCCCCCTGCATGTGTTCCCTCTCTTGCTGTCTCTCTCTCTCTACCAGATAAATAAATAAAATCTTTAAGAATAAAGAAATAAAGAAATAAAGAATGGCAACCAGAAATTCACCAGCAACAATCAAATAAGGAAAGGAATAGAACTTAAAGAGAAAAATAGAACTTTGAAAAGTGGAGCCTGTAGAAATAAACAGATGCAGAATGGCATGGCTATTATCTCACCTTCAGCCCTCAAAACAGTACTTAAAAAAGATTAATGAAGCAAATTGTAATATTTTCATTGTGTATATGAATTTATCAGCACCACGCTTTAACCAACTGAGCTAACCGGCTACCCCTATGTATATGAATTTAGAAAGAAGTGGACTAAAGACATCAGAAGGAAAAACTCTCAAAAATTACAACCCTCATATAATGGTAGGGGACCTCAACAAATATAGGAGCCTTTTGGATCCTAAAATGAAATTCATAGATAAGAGTACATCTATAATTTTATTTTATTTTTATTTATTTATTTATTTATTTTAAAGATTTTATTTATTTATTTGACAGAGAGAGGCACAGCGAGAGAGGGAACACAAGCAGGGGCAGTGGGAGAGGGAGAAGCAGGCTTCCCGCTGAGCAGGGAGCCCGATGTGGGACTCGATCCCGGGACTCCGGGATCATGACCTGAGCCGAAGGCAGACGCTTAACAACTGAGCCACCCAGGCGCCCTACATCTATAATTTTAAAATCAACATGTTTCCCTTATTGCATAGAAAGAAGAATAGAAGTAATTTACAATAAAGTAATAGTTACATTGCTATATAAATGCTTGTCCATGACAACACTAGAAATGTACTGAAACAGTTAAATAGTGCTGGCACTGATATGTAGAACAGCCATGAATGTGACAACTATAAGTGCAGACTTATATAGGTGTATTAGCAACTCAAATAGTGTGGGTTGGGGTGTTGCCATCAGTAACATAATTTTCCAAAATCTTGAACAGTTTCTAGTGGTTGTATTCCAAGTCCCAGCCTAGTTTCTATGAGTTCCTAGTCTGAAGATGAATTTTATTCATTTCAGTGGATTATTTAAATTTATTTTCCTTATATATTTGGTAAAATAGGGGTAGATTTTATTTTTTTGAAATTACCAAAATGTTTATAATGAAACCCAAAGAACAGTTCCTTTTTCACTCTAAATATTTTTCAAATGAAAAATTTCACTATTTGTTCTAACCTTTCAAATTATATATTCAGAACACAGATTTTTAAACATAATTCCCAGTGAATATCATTATCATTAGTAAGGAAAGGCCTAGTTTTTCAAACTGCATGATAAAGAAGATGTATAAACACAGTATTTGTTCCAGTCTTACTTGAGACTAATTGGCAGCTGGCCAACAGATGGCTAAAAATGAAACATTTTATTTCCTACAATAGTATGTCTGTGAACAAACTGTAAATTTTTTAGTGAATTATCAATTTTTCTACTAGATTATTGTTAGGCTAAGAGTTTCCCAGTTGTTACACATGAAGCCCCAGGAGTTCAAAAACTGCAATCCTCAGAATGTTACAGCTTCTACAGGGGACGAGAAAAAAGTGAGGTGGGGGGAAAAGACAATTTGCATATAAGAATAAATGTAAAATAAGAATAAATTGTTCGCCTCTGGTTTTGGAAATGTTGGAGTGAAAACTGGTTTTTTCTGCTTTGAATAATTTTTTGTATATTTGGGACACAAAACTGTTAAAGTGAATTCAGCAGTTCACGTTACCTCTGAAAACTTTTGGTGTATTTTTTACGGATAAAAATCAGCATGAAATCTTGTCTCTTTCTTTGCACTTTTTATGTTTCTTTTCAAACAAGTTTTATAAGAAAATTTATTAATTTGCTTACTTAATATTTAAGATTTATATTTCTATGGAAAAATAACTTCTGAGTTCAATCCCCCAAATGCTATGAAACCCATCATGGAAGTATAGTACCTGTGGTTCTTTAGCACCTAATCACAAATCAGAAGGTTTCTATGGGAATATACTTTTCAAGAGTTCCAGTTTAAAATACCAAGAATTCATTTAGAAAGTCAGGGCAACATTTAGGAAATGCATTGAATTTGGGGCCTGGATACTTGATATCTATCCTTAGCTGAGCTAGTTATCATCGTGACTACAGGCAATTCATTGACTTGTGTAAACTTTAATTTTTGAATTTAAAAAATGGAGATACTACTTTCCCTAAACACTTAATTGTGTTTTCATGAAAAGTAAATGAAATAATGAGCCTGAACATGTTTGAATTCTGTTCTATGGCTATCTTGTGGAGTGAGAAGAGACAGATGAAGATGGAGTTCTAGGTTTTAAAGACAACAGAGAAAAAGGCCAAGATGAGTTAGTGAAGGAGATGAATTGTGGAAATTAGTATCAGGAAACTCACAGATTAGGAAGGGAAACAGACAAATCATTTTATTGTAGTAAGTGCTACACGGGAGGTATAAATCTGCTTAGGTGCTACCAGTTGACCAAGATCTCTTAGAAAAGAATTTGTGTATGTGGCCTGGGAACTGAATCTGGGAGAATAGTAAGAGTTTGTCCAGGTGGCTGGAGTAGAATAAGAATGACGTGACGGACAAAGGAAATAGGGTATGCAGAGGCTTGCGATGTGAACAGACTTGGAATATTAGAGAAACAGTAGTTCAGTGTGGCTAAAGTATAGCATAGCTAGGTTGGAGTAACCGAGTCTGATGTTGGAAAAGTTATGTTGGTGACATACTGACATGGGAAAATTGGAGTAATGACTCCTTAACTTGCTGCTTTCCAATCT